GCTGCACCCGCGGCCGCGACCCGGCCCGCTGCACCTGGCCGCCGCCGGGCTGCACATCACAGACCCAGCTCGCCCGCGCGCCTCGGGGCCTGCACCTGCCCGCTCCATCCCACAGGCCTCCGCTCCCGACACCCAGAGCCCATTGGCACCTGCGGAGGCGCCTCCGTCGCCTCTGAATCCAGAGGGCTTCTTCCTACCTTCCTGACCTGGGGAGTCCAGGGTCAGCCCTGATTTCACACCCGCACCCGGGCGGCCAGGCTGGGGTAACTTCGTCTCCAAGATGAGGGCAGTACCTACCTTGCGGGAGCCATCGTGCCCTGAAATGAACTAACGTGCCTAAATGGCCAGGCACCTGCTGTCAGCCAGGCAAATAGCGGCTGAAACCTGCTGTACCTCTTGGTCTCTCTGACCGGATCATAAAACCGTGTCTTGAGGATTTCGATGTCCAACAGATTCTTTAAAATGCAATAAATGAATGAACCGCACCAAGTTCCATTGTTATGGGAACACAGCACCAAAGTTGCAAGACAAAAATCACAAGAACTACTGATGGAACCCAGGTATTTTCTAAACCTATTCGTTGCTCTATTTTATTTGTACCTTCAAAGAAATGACATTTTCTTTTACTTACTTTTCTACCGTTTTACTTTCTACTTCCGTAATTTCAACTTTCCTCTTTATTAACACTATTTTTATCTTATTAGTTCAATATTGAATTAAGTAGTTTCTTTGTTTTTAGTATTTTTTGGTAATCACAGTATTAATGACTATAGATCTTCCTCTGAGTGTGGCTAAAGCTATGTCCATTAGTGTTTCATATGAAGTGCTTTTTCTTAAAAATTTCCAGACAATATGTAGTTTGTTTTTCCTGTTTTCTTTATTGAAGGTGTAGATAGTTTACGTAAAGCAAAATGCACATTTTAAAAAATTTATTTGAGAGAAAGAGTGCACAAGCAGGGCGGAGGGGCAGAGGCAGAAGCAGACTCCCTGCTGAGCCGGGAGCCCAACTCCGGGCTCTATCCCAGGACCCAGACATCAGGACCTGAGCCACCCAGGCATCCCAAAATGCACATATTTTGAAAGCAACGCTTATGTAACCACTACCAGTTCAAAGATAGAGCATTCTCAGTGCTCCAGAGAAAACAGGGGATCACTATCCTGACTTCTATCACATAGGTTAGTTTTACCTATTATTGAATGTCATTTAAAAACAGCTTGTTTGGGGGCGCCTGGGTGGCTCAGTCGGTTAAGTGTCTGCCTTTGGCTCAAGTCATGATCCCGGGGCCCTGGGATCAAGCCCCTCCTCGGGCTCTCTGCTCCAGGAGGAGCCTACTTCTCCCTCCGCCTCTCATGAATAAATTTTTAAAAAAATTATTTTTTTAAGATTTTATTTATTTAAAAAAAAAAAAAGATTTTATTTATTTGACAGAGAGAGACACAGTGAGAGAGGGAACACAAGCAGGGGGAGTGGGAGAGGGAGAGGCAGGCTTCCCGCCAAGCAGGGAGCCCGATGTGGGGCTCGATCCCAGGACCCTGGGACCATGACCAGAGCCGAAGGCAGACGCTTAGCCGACTGAGCCACCTAGGCACCCCTTGTCAGTGTTTTTTAAGGTAGCCCTTCTGCTATGTGTACAGTGATATCTCCTTGTGGTATTCTTTGCATGGTCTTGACCTGTGGAGATGTGAAGGACCTTATCATGTGCTTTTTGACCATTTGGATATCTTCTTTTGTAAAGTGCCTGTTGACAGACACTCCTCTGAGAATTAGCCCATTTTATAACCTGGGCTGTTTGATATATAGGAGTTCTTTATGTCTGGATAGGAGTTCTTTGCCATACATATATATATATTTAGAATATACACTCCCAGTTGTGGCTTTCCTTTTCACTTTAATATCTTTTGGTGAGTGGAGATGTTTTTATTTTATGGTTAGTGTTTTTCGTGTCACGTTTAAAAAAAAAAACTCCTACCCCAAAAGTCATGAAGATTTTCTCCTATCCTTTCATTTAGAAGCTTTTATACTTAAGTGTATGACCCATCTTGAATTAATTTTTGTATATAGTGTGAGGCAGAGGCCAGATTCATCTTATTTCCATATAGATATCCAGTTGTTGATCTACCTTACACCAAGACCACTCTTCTTGAAATCAGAGTAAGCCCTCCAGATTTGCTCTTCTTTGAGATTGTCTTAGCCTTTCTAAGTCCTGTGCATTTCTATATACAGTATAGAATCAGCTGTTGGGGCGGCTGGGTGGCTCAGTCAGTTGAGCATCTGCCTTCGGCTCTGGTCATGAGCCCAGAGTCGGGAGATGGAGCCCCGCATCAGGCTCCCTGCTCAGCGGGCAGTCTGCTTCTCCCTCTTCCTCTCACCCAGGTTCGTGTTCTCTCTCACTCTCTCAAATAAATAAATAAAATCTTAAAAAAAAAAAAGAATCAGCTGTTAATTTTTACAAAAAAGTCTGCTTGATACTCTATGCTATCAACCATACTCCTATGAAAATCTCCCAGTTCCTCAAATATTCCTAACTTCGTTCCTTTAATTTTTTTTTTAAGATTTTATTTATTTGACAGAGAGAGACACAGCGAGAGAGGGAACACAAGCAGGGAGACTGGGAGAGGGAGAAGCAGGCTTCCCGCTGAGCAGGGAGCCCGATGTGGGGCTCGATCCCAGCACCCTGGGATCATGACCTGAGCCAAAGGCAGACGCTTAACGACTGAGCCACCCAGGTGCCCCAATTATGATGTCTTTAAAATAAAATCCTGGGGCGCCTGGCTGGCTTAGTTGGTAGAGCATGTGATTCTTGATCATGGGGTCATGAGTTCAAGCCCCATCTTGGGCATAGAGTTTACTTTAAAAATAAACAAACAAAGTCCTATTCATGTTTTTTATTTTTAAATTGAGCTAAGTCTTACATCTCCTGAAGTGTTTTTACATACATGCGCAGCTTGTAACTGCCACCCAGATCCAAATATGAAATATTCCCAGCATCTTAAAACAGTTCTCTGTCCTCCTTCTCAGTCAATCCTCCCTAAGGAAAATCACTACTCTTACTTACTACTCTTACTTCATCCCCATGATTTTGAACTTCATGTAAATGAATTCACAACAATATGTACTCATGTGTATGACTTCTTTTACTCGGTGTTATATCTGTGAGTTTCATCCATGTACCCATGGTTCATTCATTTTCTTTGGGGTATAATATTCCAGTCTATGAATATACGATCTTTTATTTATTCTTTCTGTTGTTGAAGGACATTTAGAGTGTTTCCAGTTTGGGGGTATTATAATAAGGCTACTGTGATTTTTAAAAATTTTTTTTGATAATCTCTACACCCAATGTGGGGCTCACACTCACAACCCTGAGCTCAAGTCAGACGCTCTTCCAACTGAGCCAGTCAGGCACCCCGCTATAATTTTTCTTAAACAACCATTCTATTTTTCTCAAGATCTCATGATACAGCAGTTGTGGAAGGACTTGGCCAGACAGTTCTGGCTCAGGGTCTCTCATGCAATCCCACTGAGATGTCCACTGGGGTCAAGTCTGATGGCTCAACCAGAATCGACATCAAAGATGGCGTCACTCACATGGCTGGCAGTTCATGCTGGCTGACGGCTGGAAGACCAATTGGGCTATCACCTCGAGCACATTGCCTCTCCATATGGCGTGGACTTCCTCATAACATGGTAGCCTCAGAGAATTCAGATTTTTTATTCTTGGCAGCCCAGAGCTCCAAAAGTGAGAGAGCTAGTGTACAAGGTAGAACTACCAGGGTATTGTACGTATGTGTGTGTGTATATATATACACACACATATATGTATTTTTATATCAAAAAAAGAAAAGGGGCACCTGGGTGGCTCAGTTGGTTAAGCGTCTGCCTTCTGCTAAGATCATGATCCCAGGGTCCTGGGATCGAGTCCCACATTGGGCTTCCTGCTCAGCAGGGAGTCTGCTTCTCCCTCTCCCTCTGCCCCTCCTTCCTGCTTGTGCTCTCTCTCTCAAATAAATAAAAATCTTAAAAAGAGAGAGAAATACATAAACTAAAATCTTAAAAAAAAAAAGTAAAGAAAAGCCTGCTAGGATTTGGGGTTGAAGTTGCATTGAATCTATAGACCAACATGGAAAGAACTGACTTCTTAACAATACTGTCTTCCAATCCATAAATATAGCTCTCCATTTATGAGAGTAAAGATACTTATTTAATTCCTGTCAACAATGTTTTGTAGTAAATTTAATAATCTTTTGCTAAATTTATTCCTATTTTGATACTATTATACATGGTCTTTGAAAATTTCATTCTCCAGTTGTTTGTTGCTAATATATAGAAACAATTGGTTTTTTGGTATACTGACCTTGTAGCCACTGACTTTGCTAAATTCATGTATTTGTCTTAATAATTTTGATTTCCTCTTAGACCTGAGAAATTGTTTCTTAATTCCCAAGCAAAATTTTAGAAAACCATTCTGTGGTTGATTTCTATTTATATTGGGCTATAATTAAAGTTTTCTGAATTTATAGAATCTCCTGGGTTTTTAAAATTTATCATCATTTTCTTTATGGCCAGGTACATAATTGATATCTATGGACATAAAGA